TATACACAAAAAGATTGAATGTATATAATGACAAAACTGAAAAACCAAAGGAAATTACCGTCATATACAAATACAAACCATCGCATACAAATACAAATCAAACAAAAAATTATTAGTTGCGAATTATACAAATGTGGCGAATTATACATATACAAACGTGACTAATAATACAAACTTGATGTCAGCCCACATAATTAATGGTTAATGTTATTCGCAAGTGGTAATTATAGCAAACTATAGCTATAATGAGTAATTAAATAATATCAATTTACTTAATCGCGTAATTTTTCCTTTAATTAATATTCTCAAGTCAAAACATGATAAATAAAAATAAAAATAATCAATTTAATCCCTCTAAATTCTAATCATAGTGTTTAATGACGTAGATTAACATAAGATGCTTACATTACGTTGAGAGCGACGGCCCAGCGGACAAAAGCCGCCATTCAAGGAAGCCATAGATATTAGATCCATACTATGGGCTTTCCCAAAATACCTGTTTTTCCTTTTTCTTTTTTTTGGGTGAGTTTTATAATTTATCGCTTAATTTTAAAAAATTGATGATTTTTATTACTTAATTTTTAATTCACTTTTATAATCGTTTCATAAAATAGTTTTTAAAGCATTAAACTTATTATATTGAAAGAGTAATTTAATAAAATTATCTATATTTGTTGCTTTTTAAAAGTCCGTTAAATTAACAATGAACAAATAAAAATAGACAATGAAGTATTGTAACTGTCATTTTACCTATTGTTGTGTATATTAAAATATAAGTAAAAAATATAAGTTATACTCTCTATAGCTCTACCTCTAGCTGGTGTCGCTCCACAGGTAAGATATGTAGCAGAGTACTATTTAATAAAGATAAAGATTGATTTTTCTTCTTAAATGTTTTGCATACTTCTTTAATGTTCAGAGTACATCTGAAAACAATATAACTTTAGTCTTGAATTTCTAAATGAATAGTTATCACCGCGATAACTTTTTTGAGCTAAAACGACAGCTTAACAAAACTCCTACTATACGTAATTAGTTTATATAGCTATAATTTCATTAAATTATCACTCACCACTAGCTTACAATCATAATTACGTGATCCACATCCAAAATTTGTATAATTCGGCTCTTATTTGTATAAATCCAGAAATTTTCTAATTGTTAGATCCAAAATTTGTATATACTTACCCTAGCTTGCATATTATTACATTGTCTGATATATTTGATTGGTATAAGTTTAAAAAATCATAAAAATACAAATACAAAATTTGTATATACTTACTTTGTTTGTATATTGGCAAGCGGTTTATACAAATAGAAATATTCATAACAAACGAAATTATAGCATTCAGCGTAATTAGGTAAATTGTAGCTAAGGAAGCTTGTAAAGTTTAAACTCTTTACTATTTATGAAATTTCCTCATTATTTAATCATTTAATGTGTAAATTAAATTTACATTACAAATACATAAAATAAAACTAAAAACTTTTTATCTTCAAAAGTGAGCCCCCCCCCCCCCCCCCCCGCACACCCTCCTCCACCCACGCCCACGCCAGCCCAAAACAGTATTCTTTATGTCTTTTCAAGAGTGTGGGCCTATATCTAGGATAGGGATTGGCGGCCCACTACTTCATAGGGCCGTACCACTGCACGATTCCCGCAATTGATTACGATAACGACCTTCACGGCTTTTCCTATCTGGGCTTTTCGGGTCACTTTTTAGGCCCAAAACTATTAATGAATTTGTAGATGCATCATTTTTATTAGAGCAATTTTCAAATGTAGCAAATATAAAAATTATATTTGTATGTTATAGCTATTGTTTGCATAATTGCGCTCCATAGCAAATTTTATGTTTGCTATGGAACTTTTGATTTGTATAAATCGCTAAAAACATCTAATTTTATACAAATTGTTCAATTTTGTATAAATTCATTTATACATTGTAATTTGTATAATAAGATTTGTATTTGTATAATTATAAGTGTATAGGACAAAAATATATGTATTTGTATTTGTATATACATTTTTCTCTCGCTTTAAACAAACACAAACGCATTTTATACATTTTATATTGAAATGTATAAAATGACTAATTGTATACCTAATCAGATGACAAAAAAAGGAGATGTTTGCTGCGAATTACAATTAAAATAAACTATGGCTATAACATTTAATTTGAAGTAATAGTTTGATATTTCATACAATTTTTCCTTTTTATTATAACCATTTTCACAGAAAATGTCCAGTTTTGTAAATAAAAAGATCATGTCCTTCTCACATTTTAATATTCAAATTTAATTTGTTGGTAAAAAATTACTTGTATTGCTCCTAAATTAAGTTAATTTATAGGCATTTGGGAAACTAACAGACCTCTCAATGTTATTGATTGGATAAGTATTATTATCCTACATTGTAGAGAGAAGAATTGATCTTTCCCAATCTCACTCGCCTCTCTCCTCTTTTGATATGTAGCTACGAATTGTAATTAATTATACTATAACTATTTTACCTCATGATGTTTCAAGTCTTTGCTATTTTTGAAAGTTCTTCTGAGTAATATTATCCTACATTGTAGAAAGAAGAATTGGCAACTGAGAAATGTTACATTTTACAATTCAGCATCATTAAAGCCCAAAATAAAAAGAGAAAATTGTATAAATAACAAACTATTAATTCAAGGGCAAATTACAGAAATCACATATTTTAAAGGCAAAATTACAATTTATCCCTTAAAAGTTTATAATTACAGAAATCCCTCATTTTCGCGCATCAAATTAGTGTATCGGCGCTTATATTATTGTATCTCGCGCATCAGATTAATGTATCAGCGCTTATATTATTGTATCTCGCGCATCAGATTAATGTATCAACGCTTATATTATTGTATCTCGCGTATCAGATTAATGTATCAACGCTTATATTATTGTATCTTGCGCATGTATCAGCACTTATATAGCTCTGATACATTAATCTGATGTATGAGATACAATAATATAAGTGTTGATACATTAATCTGATGCGCGAGATACAATAATATAAGCGCTGATACATTAATCTGATGGGCGAAAATGAGGGATTTTGAAAATTTGTAAAACTTATAAGGGATAATGATAATAAGTAAACTAAAAGGTGGGATTTCTGTAATTTTTCCTTAATTCAAACTAAATGCTATAGCCACAGTTTGATTTAATTGTAACCTGTAGCAAACAATTGTCATTCGCATCTCTCCCTGAATTTCTCGCTCGCCACTCTCCATTTCTCGCTGCCAGTCACTCCCTCGCCTCTCTCACTTTATACAAACACAAATGTATAAAATGCATTTGTGTTTGTATAAAGCGAGAGAAAACTGTTTATACAAATACAAATACATATATTTTCGTCCAATACACTTATAATTATACAAAAACAGATTTTTCCTTGCCCAGTTTTCTTTTGTCTTTCTCTCTTGCTCGCTTTATACAAACACAAATTATACAAATTACAATGTATAATTTGTGTTGTATAAAGTGAGAGAAAAAGGGAGATTTTGATATACAAGTGTTTTATTTCGATTCAATTGTATACAAATTCAAATTTTATGCAAATATATAAACACATAAAATTGAATTGAGAGGCTACCAATGATTTATACAAACGAGAGGCTGCTAGTGATTTATACAAATGAGAGACTGCCAACGATTTATACAAATATGATGCTCCAAGCAAACATAAAGTTTGCTATGAAGCGCAATTATACAAACTATAGTTATAGCATACAAATATGATTTTTATGTTTGCTAAACCTAAAATTTACTCTATTAAAAACAAGTGTGGTTTGGATTACGAATATTGAACTTGTTTCAATTCGTTGGGCTCTAGAGTCCACATAAGCCAAAAATAGTGAAGAAAAGTGGATCAACCACTTTGATGGAAGCTGTTAGGCCTACCTTGAAATGGTCCAACTTTGATCCATATACCTCTAAATGCACTTTCGGCCCAAAATAATGTCGACTTATAGCCCAAACTCACACCTTTCCCCTTCTTTATCTTGCGATCTCGTCTATCTCTGTCAATTCTTACATTTGAAATTATCGCTAGATTTAAGCATTCCTCCTTTGGTTTTATTTCTTTCGAGGGTGATTTGAAATGAATAACGAAGAGCCGATTTCACTTCCCATTTTCAATTTATTCCACATTAATTGGAGAAATGAAGGAGATGGAATGAATATTTTGTCGGTAAGGACTCATTGTTACATCATACTCGAAGAGATAAAATGAATATTAGTAAGTATCCATCAGATAAAATTTCAGACATATCATTTAAAGTTACGTTTAGCAAAACTAACTTTAAACATTATACGGCCTAGTACTCTAAAGTAAAAAAATATTATAAATTTAAGACATAGCTAAAATTATGACATCAAATTAGGTATTTGTGCCTTCAGGCTTCAGCTGTATACTTGAGTAAAAGTGTTTCTAAAATTTAAATTATATATATATATATTTTAAATTTAATATTAACATTATTATATTAATTATAATTTAAATAAATTTATATTCCATGATTAAAATATTGAATTTAAATTAACGAGATCAAACGGAAAGTCGGTTAGTGTAGGCTCCACAAGGACAATAAATTTGGCAAGCAAGTTGAAGAGACTCTCTCAACATTTGACAAATTCTCACCTTCTTCGACCAAACAAAATGGGTTCATTGTAATCAAAATAATATTTTGTCAGTCCACTTTAATTTATATAATATACATATTTATTTAAAATTAAATTATATAAATTTTGATTGACATCGTAAAATTACAACTTAAGTAAAAAATGATACGAAAAGAAAAATATGATAAATAAAATTGACGTATGAAATAGCCCTTATAAAATTCAAAAGAATATCCCAGGTATATCGTGGACTAATGTTTCCTAATCTTTGAAATTCAAAACATATTTGAGACTTTACTATGAAATTGACCCAAAAATTGGTGACTGAATTTTGTCTACAAGTGAAAAGCCAATCCTTTTATCCCCCTTCTTCCTCGCAAGCGGCAATTTTTTGTCTTCAGTTTCTTCATCCCCACTTGTCAATTGTCAGCTACCGTTTAATCCATTCTTTCGATCAATTTTGCAATTGGGGTTTATCAAAATCTTAGTGAAATGAAGGCAGAAACGCTGACACTTGTGCTGGTGAATCTAGCTGGAATTATGGAAAGAGCCGACGAATCTTTGTTACCTGGTGTCTATAAGGAAGTTGGTGAAGCACTACATGCTGATCCAACGAGATTGGGCTCACTCACGCTTTTCCGATCCATGGTTCAGTCTCTGTGCTACCCTCTTGCAGCTTACCTTGCTGTTCGACACAATCGGGCACATGTAATCGCATATGGTGCTTTTCTTTGGGCTGCCGCCACTTTTCTTGTTGCTTTCTCTTCCACTTTCACGCAGGTCAGCTTACCAATTACTCTCATTTCTCGGTTTATGGGTTTTTTCTTGTAATGAAATTTGGATCTCTGTTGTTGTTTAATTTAGGGGAATGTATAGTAAATTGTCAATTCCATGTAATTTGGGATTTTTGTTCCTTTTAGTGCTAGTTGTTGTTGATAATTGTGATTTTCAAGTCGAAAATTTCGACTTCTAAAGGTTTTCAATTTGTTGATTCTATTACTGGGCGGATGGGTTATATTTTAATTGCATGCAGCACCTCTCCATGCCGCCGATGGTCTATCGGAAATAGCTTCTCTATTAGGAGTAAGGTCTGCGTACATTTCGAAGACCCCACTTTATAGATTACACTGGATATGTTGTTGTTTGGCACCTCTCCACCATCCCTCAATTTGTTGTGCATTAATGATGTAAATATTTGAATTACATTCTAGGAAAACAAATGGATTAAAGTTAGAATTGTGAATATGCCAGTCTCATTTGGACATTATTTAGTGGGAGAAAGGACAAATATACTCTCAACCTATCATAAATGGTATGCATATACCCTCCGTCATACTTTTGGGACATTGGTGCCTTTGTCGTCCAAAAACTAGAGCATATATGCCCTTCACTCTAACGGAAGACTAAATAGGGACACGTGGCACAATCTTATCCGTCGATCCGATATTTAATAAAGGGAGAAGGGACGGATTTACCCCCGAACTTTAATAAATGGTACGTATATGCCCTCTGTTATACTTTCCGTCCACATAAGCCCCTGCCGTCCAATTATAGGTACACATATACCCCTCTCACTAACGGACCCCTAATTTCTTACACGTGTCTTAATCCTATTGAACTACCCGTTTGACCCTTTTTTTTAACCCATAACCCAATACCCACCCAATTTCCTCTAAAAGGAATCCTAATTAAAAGACCCAGAATATGATGTAGAAATTGTTGGTGGTGGTGCTGATGATGCCGGTGTTTCAACAAACACCTCATCCTTCTCCTTCAGCGACTCACACCTATACCCATAATCATACCCATATTCCTCAGCGGCTTGTAGCTCAACCCTAGCTGCCTCCTCCGAAGCCAAAACCAACAACCTCTTGATCTCCTCCCTCCTCGCCACCGAACGCCTCCAGTTCCGTCTAACCATAAAACCTGACACTGGTCCAAAAATCGCCATGAACGCCACCACCACCAAGCTCGAGAGAAACCCTAGATCCCCTCCCACGAGCATTTACACAAACCCACAAACAACAACAGATCACATCCAAACCCTAATCCTTCCAAATTCATAGAGCTCTATACCACCCCTCCACCGATCACAATGTTGAAAATACTCCATTTATTAAAGTTTGGGGGTAAATCCGTCCCTTCTCCCTTTAATAAATGTCAGATTTGTGGATAAGATTATGACATGTGTATGTCCGTTAGTATAAATGATATATATGCTCTAGTTTTTTGACGACAGGGGCATCAATGTCCCAAAAGTATGACGGAGGTGTTTGCAACAAATTTTAAAGTGACAGAAAATAAATTATATGAAGAAACATAATTTTATTCATCAAGATTGCGGGTACAATTCTGTTCCTCCCTTGATTCTACTCTCCTAAGATTTATCCATGATTCGAGGGCCGTTAGTGGCGTATTTTTCGAACTAGGATGATTTGGATTTGACCTCTATGAATATTCCATGACTTTTGTGGAATACTCGAGATCTTAATCTTTAAAAATATCCAAGAGTTTATGGGATATTTTGAGATGCCTTTTAAGGGAATTTAGTACCCTTTATATAGGCATAAACTAGGGTTTAGGGTTGATTAGCCTCCAAGAATTCTAATTGAAACTGAACACATCTTCTAGAGTCCCAATTCGAATTGAACACGTCTTGTAGAGTCCGCAAAATTTCAATGTCTACAAATGCCCCCTGCTTCAAGGCTTGTCGGAGTGTAGACTCGTTGAAACTCAAAAATTTCAATGTCTATAGGAGGGTATCTGCATACCATTTATCCTTTTCGGGGGTATATTTGTCCTTTTCCCTTATTTAGTGGAGGGAAAAACAATCTCTTTGCCTAGTTTGCCACTGATGGACAGTCAATTTGAAGTGATCACTGCCTCTGTCACCCTTTTCTGTACTTGCTTCCCTCAGCCCCTCATCATTGCAGCCTCTACCTGGAGCCAGTTATTGCAAGTCGCTACCAGCAATATCCAATGACTTCTCCGTTGGGTGTGAGAACTAATCCCCACATCGGAAGTTGAAAAGAAAAAGAACCCACATAGAGGTGTAGGAACCTACGGGATTGGTCCAAAACGGACTATATCACACCATATAAGATTATATTGAGACTATTGGCCCAATATTCTCATTATTAGATAAGAATTATGGAACGCGTGTATGGTAGTCTAATCATAGCATAAAGTTTATTTATAATTCGCGTCAGGGTACTTTTAGCCTTGTAGAAGTCGTATCTGTGGCAATGACAGGATATATCAGTCTAATTTACAACAACATACCCAGTGTAAAAAATTATGTGATATTGTCACCTTACTACACTATCACCTGATTCACAATTCAATCACATTCGTTCAAAATGTTTGACATTAACTTTTCAATCATTATCTTACTGTCTTCTTACTACTATCAAATATACTTGTATATAAGTTGAGATAAAAAGTTAAAAATTTCAGTGAAATTTCATATAGTACAAAGTAGAATGTTTGGGTCGTTTGTGAACAACGGCTTCTCTAAAGTTATGCACGTTTGCTTGATAAGGTGGCAGTATCAAGAGCTTTAAATGGGATAGGCCTTGCCATTGTTGCACCTGCTATTCAATCTCTTGTAGCTGACTCGACTGATGATGACAAACGTGGGATGGCATTTGGATGGCTACAGCTTACTAGCAATATTGGTTCGATTATTGGTGGATTGTTTTCCTTAATGATAGCACCCATTACTTTTTTGGGAATTCCTGGCTGGAGGCTGGCATTTCATCTAGTTGGGATCGTCAGCATTATCATTGGTATTTTGGTTCGCTTATTTGCAAATGATCCTCACTTCCCTGATGGCCATCTGAAAGCTACTAATGAAGGTCCTGGTAAATCCTTTAAGTCAGAAGTGCAAGGACTCATTCAAGAAGCCAAATCGGTAATAAATATTCGATCCTTCCAGATTATTGTAGCTCAGGGTGTTACTGGTTCTTTTCCTTGGTCAGCTTTGTCCTTTGCGCCAATGTGGTTAGAGCTTACTGGACTTTCCCATGAGAAGACTGGTGTTCTTATTGGCTTGTTTGTGGTAGGCAGTTCAATTGGCGGACTCTTTGGAGGCAGGATGGGAGACATGTTATCCCAGCGTCTACCTAATTGTGGCAGGATAATTCTGGCTCAAATAAGCTCAGCATCAGCAATCCCCCTAACAGCGATCCTTCTGCTGGCTTTGCCTGATAATCCTTCTGCAGCATTCGTGCATGGTCTAGTCCTGTTTATTACAGGGTTCTGCATATCTTGGAATGCTCCGGCGACAAACAAGTAATGATCTTCTTACAAGACTTCTATTGTCCATTTCTCTGCTTTTAGTATTTGTTAGTCAGCCGTAATGTGCATTTTCAATATTCAATGTCCATTTCATATTATGCTGAAGTGCCAGCAGTCCAATTTTCGCAGAGATCGTGCCTGAGAAGTCAAGAACCAGTATATATGCTCTGGACCGATCATTTGAATCTGTATTATCGTCTTTTGCTCCCCCTGTCGTTGGACTACTGGCTCAGAATGTTTATGGTTATAAACCAGTTACTGAAGGTACTGAAAGTATTTCCACAGACAGAGAAAATGCTAAAGCTTTGGCACAAGCGCTTTTCACTTCCATAGGAACTCCAATGGCACTATGTTGTGTTATTTACTCTTTCCTCTATTGCACCTATCCAAGAGATAAGGCGCGGGCTCAAATGGAAGCACTGATAGAATCAGAGATGCAAATCATTGGCTTGGATAGTACTTCTCCAGCAACTCAACAATATTTACAAGTCAAGTCATCTGAACCCCAAGAGAACCTTGAAGACAGAATCATTGTTGAAATGGATTATGGAGAAGATGAACTTGATTTTGACGATGATGATGAGAAGACGTTAGTCAATCACCATCCGACATTTTCTCAACTGGATCTATAGTAAGTCATAATATCAAGAAATGCTTCTATTTTACATGGATGATCACTCATCTAATATAAACTTATATCAGTCGATCAATAGTTTATGGGCGATAGGTTTTTCCGACATCATAGAAAATTATCACAAGGATGAATAGTTGTAGAGAAACTTAGATTTCCCTTTTGCTTACATGTAACATCTTTTACAGCATCTTCCCACCTTGATCATAACCCCTTTTTTTGTGTTTTAGTATAGGTTCTTGAGAATGGAAATCTCAAGGTTAGTTTGATAACAATTTTACTGTATAGGGATTAGTAGTATTATCTCACTCTTTACATCTCCATATCTGGAATGCTGTGCATTCTTTCATACATAATTTGTTCTTAAGAGTATATATTATGTGAATTTCATGATTGCTGAAATGCATCGTCACATTTAGATTGTTTTTGCTATCTGGCATTGCTTTACTTGGCAGATTGTTTTTCGCTTCCACGTGTCGGGTTGAGTGGCCACTAGTAAACACTTAAACCTCTTATCAGCAAGGTATGATGAGGGACCTTGAGTCTGAGCTTTAAGCACATTTTACGTCTATAAACCAAAGGCTGTCCTGTTAGAGGATGCTGCAACTTTATTCCGACTAGCTTATAAAATATGTATAGTGTATAAGTAGTGTATACTTTATATTAAAATATACATATATTGTACATATAATATACACAATATATACACTTATTATATTTCGATCAGATAAATTAGTTGGTTGAACGGTATATATCGGTAATTATCCCTATATTCTTTCCCACCTCCACTCCTCCTCTATTTTCTTTTCTGTAACCCCCTCTAGTAAACTAAAGCAAGGAAAAAATAAGTGTGAAATGACGTCACTTGTGCGTGGTGATGGTAAATCTAAACTAGACGTAGTAAATTCAATCAAACTCATTCAATATCTATAGATATGTCAAGTGAAAAAACTACAATTTATTAATTTTAAATTCTAAATTTGATATTTTTGTCATACTTGAAAAGTCTCAAAGCCAAAAAAAAAAAAGTGAGTTGATTTGAGGTAGAGTGATCATCATTTCACCAAACAAACAGCGTCTAATCCCCACACACTACCTTAGCTCTAAGACAAAGTAATATAATGGCTTTAAAATAAAACTTACTATATAGTTTTATAAAGCAACCAACCCCTATTCCTAGTTTCCCACCAACTCTCCCATTTTTGGTCATTCATCCAATGTCCATGGTGATGGTGGGACACCTCTTTCATTTTATAAAAAAACAAAAAAACAAATCAGTAATCTGATTTAAGATAATTAAACCATAACTGTTTTGCATCTATCATGATTTGCACTCGTCCTAAACCAAATCAAATCATTAAATCCCAAACTATATATTACTGTTTACTCCAAACTCCTTTTCACAAACCACAAGTGTCCATTTAATTTTTTTGTTGTACCATGTGATATATTATATTGTTGACCAACCACAAAACAGTTTGTTTTCCCTACCACCCACCCAAAGGCGGAGTTACTAATATTAACAATTTATTTAATATATATAAATAATTTATTCAAAACACAGTAATTATATGAAGCAATCGTAGTTTTCACCCTTAAGGTTTAAGTTTTTCCTAATAGTTCAAACTTCAAACGCAAACCACATAGAGAAAAAATTATTGGAAGTTGAAGTTTAAAAAAAAATGAAAATGAATTTCACATAAAAGATAGGAAAAATCATATGCAATTTACATTTTTCGTGTGGTTTGAGATCTATTGCACATGAGTATCACAAAGTGCTCACCACAGAGTACCCACTCGAAGACAGATGCTATGACTGGTTTCCAATTTCCAAAATGTAACGATGGTTATGTGACAATATTTCAATGTAGGAATGTGTATCGATTCATTTTTCCTTTCATGTTTTTTCTTCTTTAATCTTGATCAATAGGCGTTTGACACGTCAAATGGAGGTGGGTAGGAAGGAGATTTAGCTTTTTAAGAAACAAATTTACTTTTTAACGAGGTTTACTTAGTGAAAAGATAATTACTACTTTATGTTAATTAGTTTTAAGGATAAAGTTACTAATGATCAAGATTACAAATTGAAGGGCCATATTAAACTTTAAAGCTGCTCTGGAAGAATCTTGAATTTTGTTCGTTGTGTTCTTTTTCTTTTTTCGTTTTGTGTGTGTTCCACGTTTTTTTTTTTTTTTTTTTCCATATTTGGTGTTCGAAATATACATTGGACTCCTAACTAAATTCCAATTGCATATTACATGCCCCATTCAGAGTGGACTCTTCTAACAAATTTTTCTCAATATTCATAATTCAAACTCAAAATTTTTAATTACGAATGAAGTTGTCCTATCACTGCACCACGTGTTGGTGTGTATTCCAAGTTTGATTTGCAGTGACAGGGTGGTAAAAGAGAGGGGGTGGGGGTAGGGGTGGGTCATTATAACCACATGCTGTGTTGGATCCATTTCTTTTGCCATCTTGACTTTTTATCACTTTCTTTAATTTCTAATCTCTGTCCTGCAAATTTCTCTCCATAATGGAGTATATCTTTACAATTAAAGAAATAATTTTTTTTTAATAATTTGATAAACATATATATTTACTTGTCGAGTTACCCCTAGATTAGTGTTACACCTGGATTCTGTCAGCTTCTCCTTGTTTAGTTTTGCCTTTAACAGGGAAAATTATATAATTAAACTAACACTAAAAGTAGATAATTATGCTACATGGCTATAATTTTAGTTAATTATAGAAAATGGGTACTGTTTAAAAAAAAGGTAATGTGGGATCCACCTATTTGTATGGATCGTGTAGAATCTCATTATCCCTTTTATACAAATCTATTCATAACCTCCTAATTGTCCATAAACCTCTCAACTGATTCACAATTCAAATTTTGAATCAACCTCCTAATTGTCCAAAATCAATCCAGGTAATCTCCCTTCTTCTTTTCTTTTTTTTATAACTTCCATCGTTTTTTCATTTTTTTTTTATTTGTGTAACTTTTCAGTTTTCCCCAATTTTTTCATCGTTTCACTCATTAATCTACGATTCAGGAGCATTGAAGCGAATACAATAAAAAATGCAAGGATATTTTCAAAATCAAGTCATCGATCAGTAATACAACTTGTTAAAGACTCCCTCCCTATACCTAGTGGAGTATGCACTAATCAGGAGAGTTGAGAGTAATTATCGATCACCAAAAAATCCACGACTTTGCAATAGTATGGATACATTCTATGTTTTTTTTTTCTTTATATTGTGATACAAAACTACGTTTTCAAAAATATTCTAGAATTGAATGTATTTAATTCACTAAGCCTATCAAATTCTTTAAATTGTATTTATATGTATTTGAATTTGAACAATTTGCAAAAATCATAATCCAAAACCAAATCTTTAATATGAAAAAGAAAAAAGCAATTCAATATCATTAGATACCAAACGTAAGCCCAAAAACAAAGACATGAAAATCGTTATGAAAGAAGAAACGTACAAATGAAACAATTGTTTTTTTTTTCATAAATAAATATATATTTCTCATTTTATGGATGTTGTTTGATATCCAATTTCTTCCAATAAACTTTTACCACAAAAACATAAACACAAAATTAAATTAAATAACGCATAAGAACTTTTAAACTATTGTCTAAGATTCCTTCGTTTCATTAGATTAGCATTAAAAAATTGTAGAAAAGTTTATGGCACGCTAAATTCATGTATTCGGTAAAATACCAAAGATAAAGTAGGTTAGTTTTATCACAGAAAATAGAAGGAAAAAAAAAAAAGGAACTTGACAATAAGAGACATATTTGTGTATTTTTTGCTCTGAAATAGTTTCATTACATCAAATACGAAATAAAGAAAGGATGTGTAATATTCAAAATCATAAAAAAAAAATACTTATGTTAAAAGGTGAAACCTTAAAGGAGGTTTGTGAAATTATCCTTTTTTTTTCCAGTTAAGTTTGGTGAAACAGAAACGTAGGCGTCCATAGGCCCTAGTAATGATGTATGGGGTTAAAATCGTGAAAAATGATGGATTAACCGAAAATGCGGATCATAATTTAACTTGTTCAATTTTTAGTGAAATTAGATCAACAAAAGTCTGAATTTTAGCCAAAGAATTTGGCTTTAATCTCTTAATATCATATATAGATATAATAAGAAACTTTTAAAGCCAAAATTTTTGGACATGTCAATTTATGTTTGACCTTTAGGGCATCAATTACAAGCTCAACCACTCCTTATTTTAAAACAATTTTCCTACTTCTACTTTTTCTTTTTCTTTTTTGTTTGGGAATATTAATTACTTTTAACGAGTGTATGTGACATGTAATAGTAAACTATAGCTAGGTAAAATAACAAAAAATAGAGGACATGTTAAAAAATACGATTGGTAGTGACCAAAATGAAGCTAATTAGTAAGGAAAAGAAAAAAGTTTTACCCAATATTTATACAAATCAATTAATGCATTGCATAAATATGATTAGTTAATATATATTCTTACTATAATATATGAATTTATAGAAATTATATTATTATTACTTTATTTGTTGCAAACATGAGCAAACCACATAATACGAAGGCCTAGACTTTTTTGATGAAAAAAAGTGTGAAATGTCATGTGTAGTAGTACTGTTGGACAATATTCTATATTCCCCTAACTAGCTAATTGTCAATTATTCAATGTAGCGATCGATATGAATCGATTCGTTTTCGTTCATTTTTCTGTCAACTCAATTCTAAAAGATAACTTACAAAAAAATTATTCAAATCTATATAAGCAGATCGCCAATTAATTTTTCAATTAATGTGAGACTTTGGTCCACTCTAATACCCCTTCACACCTAGAAGAGCAACTAAGTGTAGGTCGGGAGCCCAAACAAAAATGAACTTATCTCTGATATCATGTAAAGATATGACACCTGAGTCTAACTCTTGAGAGAAAGATTATCAGATTCATATAAAGGCCCCGCTTGATTTACCTGACTTAGTCTTGAATCTTTATCAATTGATATAGTATTATTTACATTTATTTTCGAACAATTAATATAAATGTATAATTGCACATTCAATCATTAAACTAGAAGTAGTGAGCTATTCATATATAATTTTATGTATAATCAACGTATATCAAATTAAAAAAGTAAACAATTATCTAAATCCGATCGATTATTTGTATAAATGTGTTTTCAAAGGTAAGAAGAAGTAACCTTTAATGAAAGACAACAAGGTTATATATACTTTATGTTAATCAATTCAAGGATAATA